ATATGTATAAATATATATTATATAATATAGATTAGATTAGGTTAAAGAAATACATATATATGTATTGTTATATATATATTGTAGATATTTACATTTTGAATGTTCCAATACTTTTAATAAGGTACGGATAGCAGCCATGCCAGCAGATACATCCTTCTCATTTTTAATAATTCCATTAAAATATCGACAAATTTCTAAAATATTAAAAATATTAAAAAATCATATTGTCGAGAAATTTTTTATGATATTTAATATATTATTACAATATACAGATTTATAATCTATTGATTCATATTGCTAGTTAGCAAATACTTATAATCTACTGATTTAGCATGTACCTTTCTTCTCCATTATTAGGATTTATGTTGTTTCCTCTTACAATCGTTTCAAAAATTAATTTAACCAATATATAATGTGTTTAATATTTATGTCAAAATATATAACGCGCATAAATTACACAGATATATTGTGTAAGGTTATTCCGATTGCACTTAACCTAACCCAACTTAGCATAACATTGACAGCAAACTTCTTTTTTCGCGCATGCGCATCAAATGTAGTATCAATCATAGACTTATCTATCATCATTGAGATGCACATGCCTCAAATATGCTTAACTTCTAATAAACTCCATTTGGCGCTGCAAAAGTTTCGAATTATTTGATTGACCAATCAGAACGAGAGCGACAAAGATTTCTTTGTTGTGATTTGTCAATCGAACGCTTCTAAATTTGTATCTTTATAATAAGAGAGAGAGAGAGAGATAGAAACTTAATTTATTTTGCAAAATAATTTGATCAATCTGTTAGATCGGTGTGTGTCAAGCTTAAATTTGTGTGCATTTATTATATGACAAGTCCAGATGTAAATAATTTTCTCGAGTTGAAAACCCTTTCTAATAAAAAAAAAGGAAAATATTTGGACAGTTGTCAAATGTGTCAAAACGCTTATTGTGTGTCTTGTAATATAGTTATTAATTAAAAACAATACAATGGAAAATAAATTTGGCAATATTCTAAAAAATAGCACTAACAATACTGAAATAGAATCCAAAGTAAGTTAAATATTTGCTCGAAAGATTTTAAATACTTGGTTATCTCGTAGTGACATTCTACATGTATATATTTATAGGAAATCTTAAAGAGGAAGATGCAAATGAAGTCAGAAGCGATTTTGTTGTTGAGTCAGGAGCTGGATCAATGTAGGATGCAACGAGATCAGTTTAAATTAATGGCAGAACAAATCCAGGAAAGATTTCTGCGTTTGAAGAAGCAGATGTGTGAAACCAAAGAATCGAATAGGTAAATAATAGTAAATAATAGAGCAAAATGATATTACTTTAACATTCTGTTTCAAGATCCTTCTTAAGTTTAAGCAAGTAAATATTTTTGCAGATGCTACAGTTTAGATGAAGATTTTAAAACCTTGGATTTATTGACAGAGGCACGAGAGCAGAATAAATGTCTCAGACTACAAGTTGAAACATTAAGGCAAAAGCTATCAGATGCCGAAGCTGATATTAAGGCATTACGTACAAATAGCAATCGTACAATGGTTGAGCAACAAGATGCTCAACTTGCACCAGTAATGCATCAAAGAGAGGAAATGATAGAGCAATTAGAAGAATTAAATTTAAAAGTAAGCATTACATAAAAAATACATCTTGATTATTAATTATTTGTCATGATTTATATTTCAACATATATATCCACAAGATATATTGTTATTCAATAACATTGATTTTTATTATAGTGTTCACAGTTACAAACAGATTTACAAATAGTATTGGATGAGAAACATGAGCTAGAGATGGAAAGGGATGCTTTCAAATGTAAGGCACATCGTTTAAATCATGAGCTATCTAAAGCTTTGAGTGCCTCTAAGCCAGTTGATCTAGATGCACTTATCAATGAAAATAGGTAACTAATGAAGAATAATTATAGCCTAAAAATAAATATCTGAACTTTAGTTATATAGCAAATTTGTTTTTAGATATCTACAAGAAAGACTGCAGCAATTACTGGAAGAAAAGGAACTTACACGTCAATCTCTGTCAAAGTATAAGGTATAAGATTGAAATATAAACAAAAAATTATTGCACAACATTAATTTGCAACTATTTTTGATATTAGATATAATTGATTTTTTCTAGAGTATGTTGGATAGTAAAAGAACTAAAGGAAATATTAAGTTGGGAGTAAATTCTGCAGCTGGAACAGTAATGACTCACAAACAAGGTAAATTGTGTGTATGTGTGTGTGCGCGCGCGCGCGTGTGTACCTGTGTACATGAGAACAACCTTTATTTGTTTTAGTTGAACAGCTTCTTCAGGAAAGTTCTTATATACCACCTCAGAAATCTGCTGCTGCCGTTACTGATTTACGGTGTCTTTGTACTGCCTTGTTAGAAGCTTTAAATGACAAAACTTTGGCTTTGGCACATCAGAAGAAAGCAAATAAGTAAATAGTTACATGTTAGTTGTATTTAAATTTGTGCAGTTCTATATAAATTAATTTATATATGCTGTTTATATAGAATATTGGCATTGAGAATTTGTGAATTGGACAGTGCAGTGCAGTCACCAACCATGAAACTCTTGGAGGGATACACAAGCGCCAATGTTGATTTAAGATGTAAGTATAAACATACAATTTTAACATATAATACATATTATCATCATTATATTTATATTCTTTACAGGTGATAATGATTTAGATCATACAACTAATTGTAATATAGATAATATTGAGGAAAACAGTATTATAACAAACGAGAATAATGTACAGTGTAGCTCATCTGAGAGTCAAGTTATGCAACAATTGCAATCGATACAAATGAGTCTTCCAAAGAACTTGGGAGTATTGGTTCAAAAAGCGCTAAATAATCTGAAAGATAATGATAAACAAAAGATATGAAAATAGAAATGTCCAATATACAGAAAAATATGTGAACGTGCCTCCCCATACAAATATCATGTATATATAAAACGTATTTCTGTAAGTAGAAACTGTTATACACTTTATTGGAGCATATAAATCTTAAAAATCTAGTAGAAAAATTTAATTTCTTTCTGTATAAATCATATTTGTTTAGAAACAGCACACATAAACTCAACTTAAAAAATCAACTTATCATAAGTGTTGGCATGACAGCAAGTGCTACTTAATATTTTTATTAAATTTGCAGTTAACATATAGTAATCACAAAATTTTGATGGAAATGATTTTATTTATATACATATATATAATGATGATAGACAATTTATTATACAACATTTGTTATAGCAATTGGATTGACATATCATTTACATGTAACATGTAACTGCAGCATCGTAACAACGTAGAAATAACATTCCGTATTTACATCGTCATTAACTTCGCTTCTTTCAATTTTATATCCTTCTGTCTTTTCCAGATGTTAAACGCTTGGTCATTGATAATGCATCTCTCGTCGTTTTGTTTCTGCAAAATTTCTATATTTATTTGTTGAATCATTTGTAATTGTTTTAGCTCCCTTCTTTCTTGGGCTTCTTTTTCTTTTATTATTTGAGCATATACCTGAAGATTAAAAAAACTGTCAGAGGAGTTTAAAAATAGAGTATTAGAGAAATTTCATTTACATGTAACATGTAACTGCAGCATCGTAACACATAAGTTGATAGTAGAAAGATTTTTCTAAATGATATGATGTTTCCACAAATATCTTTTGCACGAGATATTATTCAATTGATCTAACCACAAGTCGAATTGCGTACTAGGTCGTTGAGTTGTTGGTCCCATTAATCTTTTTAATCGATGATAAGATGCATTTTCCCTGTGCGAATATATGTATATATATATATATATATATATATATATATATATACATTCTGCTAAAATACATAGAAATAACATTCCGTACGTAATATATTTATATTTACATCGTCATTAACTTCGCTTCTTTCAATTTTATATCCTTCTGTCTTTTCCAGATGTTAAATGCTTGGTCATTGATAATGCATCTCTCGTCGTTTTGTTTCTGCAAAATTTCTATATTTATTTGTTGAATCATTTGTAATTGTTTTAGCTCCCTTCTTTCTTGGGCTTCTTTTTCTTTTATTATTTGAGCATATACCTGAAGATTAAAAAAACTGTCAGAGGAGTTTAAAAATAGAGTATTAGAGAAATTTAAAAAAAATGTTATGGGTTAATTAATAACTAAATGACAAAAATGAAAGTATATCCACCTCCTGAGAAGCTTTTTTACATTTGATGTCTTTTAATTTTTTCTGTAACTCTCGTTGCTTCTCTTCCTCTACTTCTTTTAACAATCTTCTATAAATCAGGTTTTTTCCTTTCTTCCAAGACTCGAAGGATAATTTTCTTCCCATTTGTTTGGTCAATTTTCTGTTATGGAGATGACAATTTTTTTTTTTATATGTTAAATTACAAACGTTTGTAATTTTCTGAGAAGAGATCGAAGATTCTTATTATATAATAACCCTTCATTTTGTTCCCTATTTTTTTGCTCGGTAATATTGCTTTCCAATTTCTTCCTAGCTTTCCCTCTCTGCATTGGATAATGCCAAACTTCGGTTATTTTCGTACTGGGCGCCATATTACTACTATTTATATATTCTTGATCTTCAGAAATCTTATAAGGTTTTTCATTATGCTTCATATGTACATTTGTCTGTGTATGTGTATGTGAAAAGGCTCATTATTTATTAAGCAAAATAATTTTGTCTTTTTAATGTAGCTAGATAATATAATAATTGGAATAGTTTGTCACACAGATATAATAGATCATAAGTATTACTTTAACCGATTTGTTGCATATAACAGATGTATCTCGCTCATCAGACTTATTGCAATCAATTCTGATATTATCTAGATTCTGCTTCGACAAATATTTTATTTCATTTGAAGCATCCATTGAATTGGCTCCGTTCGATATATTCCTTGTTAAATTACACGAGGGAGATGACGATATTTCCTGTAAATGTATCATTCTTATTTATCTTCGACATTATTTCTATAGCTTTTTGAAAAGCCAGTTGATCGTCGCTCGAATATCTTTTACATTTTGCATTCTACTTCTCGTATCTTTTAATTCCATCATTTTCTTAAAGTACCATTCTTCGTAGATAGCTTGATGCAACTTTGCTATTTGATCTAAGTCATAATATTTAAATGACGATTTATAATGCATTATACACATTAATATATGTATAAATAACTAACTAGAATCTTTGAGTGCTATGTTAATCATTTCTTTTACGATGTTTCCCAGATTATTATCAGAAACGCTTTTTATTTTCATTTTGATGAGGCCTTGTGAAAATATTCTTAATTTGTATCTTTTATAATATTTTCTGTGATATGTAAAAAAACACTACAAATTTATTTAATTTTTTGAATTTTTTTAATGTCACGTTAATTTGACAGTTAAAATGCAATTAGGATGCTGCATGCTGTATGTATCCTTCATATGTTTTCGAAATATACACACACACACACACACACACAATTTATTCTATTTTTATTACCTATAGATAAATGAAAGAAATGAATTCATGAAGTACTTTTCCTATGTGCATAGAGTTTTAATCATACATAATATATACGTGTATAAATAATATAAAGATAATAATTTAATTATAAGTTATTCAACGAATATATGTATATATATTCATATAGCACATTTGTATGTTTCCATAAAGATATCGATGCAATAGATATTTCTGTATTTATGTACATTTAGGGAATATAGAGGGAGAGCTATACATTTATAAATGTAATAAAAAAATGATTATAAAAACGACGGCACAATAAACATATAATATTATTTACGTTACAGTCTGACATTTCCTAAGGTCGTAGGTGTTTCATCATCGTTGAACGGAAGTTGTGCTTTTACGTTATTTAACGTTACCTGTCGTAGAATTTTTGAAATTATAAAAAAGGAACACAAAGGCAGATTTATATATA